TGTTAGGGGAGGATGTTAACGTGATAGGAAGAGACACTCTACCTTCCACCTCCTTTCTTCCTCTAGCAGACAAAGCAGTTTACCTCATTTTCTGTTCTACATTGGCCTTTATGCTTCTGATTTACCTAAAATGCCTAGTGGAAGGGTAAAGAGTTGTCCACACTTGTCTTGGGAAGAGTAATTATGGTATTATTGTTTAATTTTGTCCAACCATTCTAGTTGTTTTTGGTATTAAAATGAGAATAAGACTCTAAAGGATTTATTTCTTGATCAGTGTTTAACTAAAATAGCAAGTAGGTACCTGTCCCCCAGTCTGGTTGAATTGACAGTAACCTATTGGTAGGTGGTGTGAGTTCTTAAAATGTCAAAAGGAGGTTTGTAGCATTGGGGAGCCCTCTATTGCATCTCAGTCTCAATATGCCTATTTTTAGTCTGAAGTGAGTATACAACATTCTTGCTGAAGGTCGGAGTAAGGAAAAATTTGATAGACTGACACAGTGAATGCTTTTAAGAAATACTATAGAACTTTCACAGGCCTTATCACTGAAAAGTGATATTTTCAGTATAAATTCAAGAATATTCAAAAAAGCAAAATAAAGGAAGAATTAGGCTTCTTTGTAGAAAGATGTAAAATTACTTAAAATCATTTAAAACAAAACCACCTAAAAAATTAAGATCAGCAACATTTTCATCATACTCATTGCCTGTTCCTGGTTAGATACAGTAGAATTATGATGCAGTCTTTACCCACTACAAAACCATAGTCTGATAGTAGGAACAGATAACAAATACTACAGTTACAAACTATTAGACACACTTAATATAAAGGAGGAAGTAATCATCTCTGATCAAGATAATTCTTAAAGAATGTTGGAGGTCATCAAGGAGAAGGGTGTCCGTGTTATGCGGTCTGGTGGAATATGCCCATCTTCTATTCTTAAACAAGTTCTAGAATAATTCATCTGAGTGATTCTTCCCAATTAATGCTGAGTGAACTTTTAAATTTGTTTTTGGCTGTGGTTAGTTTTCTAAGAGATTAGGATGGCTCTCTATATACATGTATGTATGTATGTATGTATGTAAAATTTCTTATCACAATGCTTTTTTAAAAAACAGTGAAGCAGTACACTATAGATTAACTATATTCTCAGGTCAGGTTTAGATTTGGTTCTTTTTTCAGTGAGAATGTATAACTCTTGGATCCTGTCCCAGTTCACTGTATCTCATGAGATTAGTAACAGTAGCCTGCATGTACTGTGACAGCTTCAACCAAACCTGAGAGAATGTAAAGAAAACGTCATGGTAGGGTTTCCACGTGGCTCCCTCAGTTCTTCACTGTCCCTTTCCCTAATGTTTACCCAGTGGGGTCCAGGCTGACAAACTCACATCAATGAAAGATTTGGAGAAACTTGGTACTGATTTAATTAAGTAGAATGTCTTCTGAGAATAGTTCTTTTTTTCACAGGAAGCAAAAGTAAAGGTAAACTTTATTAGAGTGTTTGTTTTTTGCAGATATATGATATGTATAGTATTGCTTGGTACCCGCATAAACCATTCTGGAATCTGAGCAATTTTGAAACAATTTCCAGACTATGTTCTGCATGTTCTACCCCCAAAATAGAATTGAATGTGTGAAGCAGCTTGCTGTGTGAGGCAGATGAAGTCTTAGAAGTACTTGCAGTGTAGGTTTATGGAGGAAAGGGCAAACCAGGAGCCAGTGGCTGAATGCCTTCTGTGCCATCCTGTAGTGTTTGAATTTTTGCCGCACTAAGATGTTTGCTTTTTATCTTAGGTGGATGTGTTGTGCATTAGCTGCAGGCGAATGACATCAAATTTGAGTCTTTGTAAAATTTCTGTAGCAGCAACAGGCAAGAGAGCCTGAAAAGGATGACAAATCAAAGCCTTGAAGTTTGAGTGCTAGCCCTGTGCTAACCAGACACTTCCTTAGCTTCTGGCTGCACATCTGGGAGCAAGCCAACTTTAATGCCTTCATGGCGTTTTCAGTGGAATGCAGAGAACAAACAGTAAAATGATGCCTGCTCTTCATTTTGAATATCTGGATGGTAATAGCTAAAGAGGAGTTGCTTTGGGGAAAAGAATTTTAATGTATTGAATATGAAGTGTGTTAACTATCCAGTATGTAGTTGCAATTGTGGTCTGCAGCTCAGAACTAAGGCTTTGGCTCATTCAGAGGACCCCTTGTGTTTGTTTTATGAGAACTCCCTCCAGTGAGGATTTTTAGTTGCAAATAATAGAATCCTCTCTGGTTCGTGTAAGTGGAAAAGGAGCTTTTTGAAAGATATTGGGTGTCAACTTATAGAATCTCTAGGAAGACCTCAAGAGCCAAATTCTGGGATCTTGGTGTCCACAAATTATCTACACTGCCACCTCCACGTCAACTGCAAATGCTTAGGAGGCCACTGCCTTCTCATTTGGCTTCTTGTGGGCCCTCACCTGGCCTGCCTGTGCTGTAGGGCGTGTTATGAGCAGGTAAGTTTCCTGGTTTATGCTATGGCAGAAGCCCAAAATAGAGTATTTTCAAACACATTGCACAGTCATAAGTGTCCATGTGTATCTGTGAGTGAAAAAGATTTTCATGAGTATGTAGAACTTTACAAAGATCTACATATTTTTATGTAATATTCTGATGAAAGCATAAAACATAACGTTTTAGATTAGAATAAATTACTTCAATAATTTGCTAATGAACTTGCTTTTGTTTTTCATGGTCTGACCAGAGAGTCCTAAACTTGGGAACTGGCTTCCTTCTAAAAGGTTGCTGATAATTTAGTTATTAGAAACTATGAGTACGTCTTCCTATAGGTACAAAGTTATCGTGGATGCTTCAGTTCTTCTATTTCTAAGTGTTTCACATTCCCGTGGGACCTCCTGGACCACAAGGTGCTTGGCATCTTCAGAAGAGCAGTGAGGGGAAGCAGAGTGGAGTTGCTTGTGGGCACAGTGCCTGCAGACACGCTGTTGACAGCCGTGTAAAGTGGGGAAGTGTTGCTAGGAACCAAAGAAAACGGAGGAAATAAGCCTGAGTTTTTAACTCGAAGCTGCCTTTAATTGTCCTTTGAAAAAGAGTAGGTTGCACTCAGTAAGTTAAAACAGCATTTCAAACTTCCATGTATTTATTCTAAATCCCTGAATCTCAGCATAGTGAACAATTTGAGAGTCATTTAAGTGAGTAGTTCAAAAGGGAAATAGACCCTTCTGAATAACATATAATGAGCAATTATTAGGCAGCATTATAGAACTTAGTGTGAAGGCAATTGGCCAGCATACATGGTATTCACAATATTCTGTGAAAGTTTTTGCTTATTTTTAGACCTCATTATTAGCTTACTTTCCTGATCATTTATATCTTTTACCTAAACAGAATAGGGAAAATTACTTTTAACAAAGCCTTCACCTAGGCCTGTCTTACTGCATTTTGGTGCCGAAAGCCCTTTTCAGTTTATATGGTAACAACAATATACATTAAGAGCCTTCTGTGTGCCAGGCAGCATCCTAGACACTTGAGATGAGCAAAACAGCCATACCCCTTGCCCAGTATGAGAATCATATTACATTATAATTAGCTATAATTATATTCTATGACTTATAATTTCAGAGATAAATTGTGTAAAGTTATTTCACTGAAGTTAAATAAATTTTAAGCTCAGTAGATAATAAACCTCCATAATATTCCCAAGAAGCCTGGAGTACATTAGTAACATTTCTGGGTAGGATTTTGATTTACCATATATTTTGACATTTACATAAAGTATGATCATTTTGATAGGAACACAGCTGGGTAATATAAATCTTAGTACTTAGAAAGTAATTGAGAGAATAGAATTAAATAGCGAAAGCAAATCGAAAAGAAACTGAAATTCAGTGTAGGGAAGCATGTTTGGAGCCACAGAGAGGGGTGAGCTACCGGCAAGAGCAAGGCAGATATGCTGTTTGACCAAGTTCTCACTTTCCCTTCTTCAGTCCCCTCCGAAAGCAGTTATGAGTGCATTAGATAAAGGAGCATCACCATTGCTCTGGAGATTACCATGAACTGATTGACTGCATTCATCAGGAGCAGGTCCCCCTGCATGCGGGTAGTTCAAGGCCCTGGAGTCTGAACCACTGTGCCTGTGATGAAGAAAAGGCAGGTCACTCACAAAACTGAAGTTCAGGGAGGCCTCCCTGAATCTAGGGCTGTCAACCGGCAGGGGTCACATTAACCCTTTAATGACCTACAATAAACCAAGGAATTAACAAAAATTTAAAATCTTAGAACTAAAGCACTAAAAGGATTAATCCATTTATTGATTTCAAGACCTTTGTTTTACAGTGTTTCTTCATGCCCACAGTTGGACCTCTTTGGCTTAAATAGCATAAGTACTCCAAAAATACTAGAATAAGTTTTATTTTCTGATGTTAAAAAAAAATACGTTTTTTAAAAATCCTGTTCCTGCCCCACAGAAATAATTGATAGCACTTGCTTTTTATCTTTTAGACTTTCTAGGCACAGTGTATATACATGTATAAACTTTTGTGATACAATTTAAATTTTATAAGGCAATTCTCAGTTCAAAACTGACCCTGTTAACTTTTGTGTCAGTTGGAGTATCTAATGGCTTTTCTTAGAAATAAGAAAAGTAAATGAACTAAATAATACCTTTGGATTTTTTAAAAATGTGTGTGTTATAAATGTGGTTTTCATGTTAGTTAGTAGTACATCATACAAGTACCGTGAGTATCATACTTAGTTATGCTATTTTATCTGCTTCAGGGAAATTTTTGTTACCATATAATGTCTTAATTTCCAAGTATATGATTTTGTCCCAAGTTGATGTGGGAGGTTAGGCACTATTTAAAATTTTGTTTTGAGAAGTAATTTTAAATTTTATTTAGGTTTTAATATTCTTACATGTGCAAATTAAAATGTTATTTGCAAAACAAGTTCACTAAATTTTATAACAAAGAAAATAAATGTTTCATTTTTTTCCCCTTTTCTCTAGTTCAACTGAGAAGTCATTTCCTTGGAGATCAACAGGTATGTTTTTCTGTTATATAAAAATATTTGTGTCTTACAACCATACATAAAAACAATGACTTACTCTATTTTACTTTTAGTAAAGCCTTTGAGAGTGATAATATTGAGCTACTCTGAAATAGTGGTTCTTACTATGCTTAATTTTTAACATAATTGAATAGATTTGCATGTGTCAATTATAAAGAAAGTATTGGACAGATTTTTGTTTTTGTGTTTTGAGACAGGGTCTCACTGTGTAGGTCAAGTTGACCTTGATCTTACTGCAATATAGCCCAGGCTGGCCTCGAATTTGCAGTAATCCTTCTGCCTCAGCCTCCCAAGTGCTGGGATTACAGGCATGCAGCACCACACTGAACATAGGACAGCAACATTGTAACACCAGCTCTATAGTTGAAAAAATATTTTCCATCATAACGAAACAGGATGACTTTGGAACAGCTTATTGCACAATCTGGGAATGCTCACTAATCACTTTTACAAGTACAATCTTTCTTTTCACTGTTTCTCATACTCAGAAGAGTTGTCTTAAGTATTTCTTTTTTTTATGTATCCCATGTAGAGTATCCGTAGCTCCTAAGATTATAGTCTAATATGCCTGGAAGTTTTCAGTGTAGTCTCTTTATCTTTTACCCTTAATTTGCCATGTGCAAAGGATAAATTGCATTGGGAGCCATTATCACAAATATTGGATATCTTTATGCACAGTCTACGTTTAGTGAATATTTACTGAGCACCCACATCACTTGGCAGATACTGATAGCACGGCATGCATTTTTCCCTTTCCCCAAGCCATCCTATGGAGCATACAACATAAAGGAAAGTGCTAGCTGTGTTACGCATACTGGAATCAGGTAGGCCTTGATGTCTGAATGGGACTTTTCACAAAGCTGGAATTGAGGGACCACAAAGTACCTAGTCTCTAAAGTTCCTGGAGCTGTTTAGAGTGCATACAAGATACTCTGCTGTTTTACAGAGGAACTGTTCCCAAGCAACGCATTGTTCAAACTGTTGATGTAGCCAAGACATGTGAAAGCTATCTAACTATAACACTTAGAAAAAACAGTTTCATACAAAGAAAGATACACCACAAAATAATGCATGATTAGCTTCCAGATAATTATTATGTGGGGAGCCTTGTTACAAATGGATGGTCCACTTCTGAGATAGCTGTGCAGAGAAGATGGGCGTGGAGCCCATCTGGTCCACCAGGGTGACCAGACTGTGGAGAGGGCATTGTTATTGGCAGGAGGTGAGACAATGGAAATGTCACATGAGAACGTATAAAACTGGTTTGGGAGGTGATAAGATGTGCAACGCCTAGCCGGCTGGTCAGGTCAAATTTGTAAGTACCTGCGTCCTTGACTCTCTCAGTGGTCATTAGGAGACCCTGAAATTACTTCCAGCAAAATTCATGTAACTTCACCCTCAAGGTGAGCGGCTGAATTTTGAACTGGAGAAGGAAAAATTAGAGGCAAGAAAGATCAACTGAAAGCTTACTGTAGAATTTGGTGTTTAAAAGCTGACCTGGACAATTCCTATGGATTTAGAGGCTCATTTGGGGCTGGTGGAAGAAAATGACAAACTTGATGTTTTGGGTGTGGGAGAATAGTGGCAGTGTCAAACAACTGGGAGAGTCACAAGGAAGCACTGGGCTTAGAAGTGCCCTGTAGGTACTTGAGGATGTGTTGGAAGTGAAAACATGCTGTAAGCGTTTCTGAATGTGATTGGTAAAGAAAACCTCTACTGTGAAGAAAAACTCCTGTTAAACTGATAGCTCCATGTAAATCAATTATGACGTTCAGCCATATGGGCCAGAGTGCTTGTGGAGAAGGGAGTTAGACCACAAGACTGACACTCTGAAGAGCAGTCTGTGCAAGAGTAATCTGCTGCTTTTTTATTCCTGGAGGATTGAGAAACTCACCTGAAACTTGACTAAGCCTGACGGAGGGAGTCGGTTGAGAGCACAGTGTAGCTCCTCCCCCTTGTCATAGCATGTGGGAGCCTGCCCTTTCCACTGAAGTTTTCCAGTGACTCTAGGGGGGACCCTGCTCATCCACCCCTGAGTGGATGAATAATACGTGCATATGTGAATGAATAGTAAATAGTGCTTCACACGTTAGAGGAATGTCTGAGTGTGTAGTCCTCAGCTTGACAACTAAGTTCCACACCTTGGGAAGTTTCCTTTTCCCTGTGCTTCAGGCCTAGAAAATGCCCAAATCCTTAGCAAGTAGAAATAAATATAGCTAATGAGTAAATAAGGTGAATATTTTAATTTAGTAACTATGCCTATTTTAACATGTACACAAAAATTACAAGTTTTTTAAACTCCAGAGAACCTTCTTTCTTCCCTTGACTCAACAGCACACATAAACCTTTGTAGCCTAACTACTAGGACATTTACTACACTGTTGCAGGTTTCTTTTTAATTACAAATTTAACACATATGATGTGAATTTAACTTTACTGTTCTTCCAGCTTTTTTGTTCTTTTTAGTATAATAACTTTAATGAGACATTATTCACACAGCATGCAGTCTACCCATTTAAATTGCACACTTCAGATTTTTTTGTGGTTTAAATTTAAGGCTTTTGCTATATGTAACCATCTTGCTTCTCAAAAGGTTGTACTGTATTAATTTTTCCACCTTCCAGGTATATGAGATTGATCCTTCCACAGTCCCCCAGTAGTGTTATTTGTACTTTTAAATACCTAGAAAAGATAAACATACCCTATAGATTGCTTTTTTCTTTTTTATTGGAGGGTGTTTGATGGGTAAGAGTTCTTTGTAGGCCAAGGGTGATAGCTGTGTCTACCAGTAAGGGTGTGGTTGAAAAAGCAGACCTCATGCTAGGTAGTTCAATATAGGGAATTTGATGCAGTAGATTTCTACTTGTGAAAGTGTGGGCTGAAAGATTTGAGAGATTTAATAGGCTCCAAGGATCAGTGATGCCTGGAAGCTGCTACCTCCCTAAGACTGCAGAGGCAAAGGGATAGGTGGTTTTGTCCAAGTCCTGGAGCTAGAGTACAGGTGGGGATGGGGGTGTGAGTAGGGTGAGGGGAGGAGTTATTTAGCATTCCATGGAAACAGGAAGAAGATGCAGCCCCTGCCAGAACTGCCATCTAAGCGGTGCTGGACGGACATCTGGTTTCTCCGCTAGTGCTCCTCCTGACGCACGGCAATCTGCACTGGCTGGGCTGAGCTGGAAACGGCAGTTGTGGATGTTTTAACCACCAACCTCAGAAGCCAGAGAGGCACTGCATGTACTTATTAATCTGCAGTGTCTAGAAAGCCTGCCTTGATTATGACGACACATCATAGGGGATGAAATCTCTCTGACCTTGACATCGTTTCTACCCGCTTCTCCGTACATTGACCAAAGCATCTTCAGGATTTTTGTCATAGCTGAGTAGCACACATACTACTATGTGTTTAGTATTTTTCATTAAATTAATTTGTCAAATCACTTTTCATTGCTCTAAGAGGCTATGTAATCAGGTTCCTAATGTATTAAGTACAGAAAAAAGAGTAGAATATATATTAGGCAAACAAGTATATTTTAAATTAAATGCAGAATGATTAAATGGTGCCCAAATAACTCAAATACATTAGTGGTAGGAGGTACAACTTCAGTGTTTATTTTTGACCATAATTCACCTTAAAAACTGCCTATTTTCTTGTTATTCTCAGAGCACAACTACCCAAAACTCATATTTAAACTTAGGAGTTACATTTATCTATCCTTGTTTTCTTTTGAGGAGAGAGGAAAGAACTTTAACTTCCAAATGCAGTAGCAAAATCTTTTTTACCTGCACTTTCTAATATTTTAACTACTGTATTGATGCATTTTTTTCTTAAATTTGCCTGCTCCCCCCGCCTTACCAGGAATCAAACTCAGGACCTCGTGCTTGCCAGGCAGGCGCTGTGCCACTGAGCTAAAACCCCAGCCCCTGCTTTTCATCTTTACTTATAGTATCTAAATGACAACCATGACAATAAGATACAGTTAGAAAGGATGAAAAATTGAAGACCAATTCAGTGACTAAAAGAGTTTCTGATTTCTTTCATGTTTCTTTTTATAGTAGACACAGATAGATGCCCTTTACAAGTTGCAGTGTTACTCGGATAGCGGTTTTGCTACTACTTCTTCCTATAAAGCTTAATGTTTTTCTTTATATTCTGTGTGCAGGGGTACAAAATGTAACATAAAAATCAGCTTGATTTAGATTAGACAGTCCTACTTAGAATGAGCCACAGGAAGCCTAAATATGAAAAAAAAAAAAAATATTTAAAAGGAACACTATCCATAGGCTAGGACTTGACAAAAGGCATGTCTTTATTCATTTTCTTGGTTTCCTGTGTAAGAAAGAACCACATGAAAGGAGTTAGGATTGGAGGCCTATTGTTCTCATTTTTCTTTTACATTTTGGGCATTTACTTGCTGACAATTTCTCTGCCTTTTTTCTCCCTTTTAAAAAATTTTACAAATTCCATTTGAAAAGCTTAGAAAAGCAAGAAGGAAAATTGGTAGTGAGGTGCTGATCACTGCCTAGGGGAGATCCCTGCCTGCTCTGGTGTCTTCAGGATATTATATTTTGTGGAAATGCCAAAAACTGAGTCCAGATGTTGAATTTGTTTCTAACTTACTGCATCATCATTTTCTAAGGAAGAACTTTAAGTGCCCTAGGCAGAGATTTCCATTTCTTTATAATTTGGTTTAGGAGAATCCAGCTTGCTTGTTTTTCATGGATGGTTAGTTCTTTCGCCTGTACTAGGGATGCTGGGCAGTTTGAAAATAAAAAGCCAAACTTTTTTAAGTGTGGGAACTGAAAGAGATTCTTCCCAAAGAATGAGGAAGAGCTGCCAAGTCTACCAAACATTTTTATTCTCTCCAGTGTGTATTACTTACAGTTTTGCTTTATCAGTAGCTTGCTTTTTGCCCTCTCTCTTCAGTATTTTACATTTTCTAGCTTACAGATGTTAGGTATTTGCTTTCTAAAAC